CGGTGTTGCTGTGCCAGTGTTGCTGTCCTGTTGTTGTAGTCACCGTGTTCCTGTCCCAGTTGTCACAGCTGCTCTCACAGCTCTTGTCACAGCTGTTGTCCCAGCTGTAGTCATGGTGTTGTTGTCACAGTTGTTGTCACACTGTTGTAGTCACGGTGTAACTGTCCTGGCTGTTGTCCCAGCTGTTGTCACAGTGTTGTCCTGGCTGTTGTCCCAGGTGTAATCACGGTGTCACTGTCCCAGCTGTTGTCACGGTGTTGTTGTCTTGGCTGTTGTCCCAGCTGTTGTCACAGTGTTGTTGTCCCAGCTGTTGTCACCGTGTTGTCCCGGCTGTCGTCCCGGCTGTTGTCACGCTGTTGTAGTCACGGTGTCACTGTCCCGGCTGTTGTCATGCTGTTGTCGTCACGGTGTCACTGTCCCAGCCGTTGTCACGCTGTTGTAGTCACGGTGTCACTGTCCCGGCCGTTGTCATGCTGTTGTAGTCACGGTGTCACTGTCCCGGCTGTTGTCCCGGCCGTTGTCACGCTGTTGTAGTCACGGTGTCACTGTCCTGGCTGTCGTCCCAGCCGTTGTCACGCTGTTGTAGTCACGGTGTCACTGTCCCGGCTGTTGTCCCGGCTGTTGTCCCAGCTGTAGTCACGGTGTCTCCGTCCCGCTGTCCCCAGGTCACCTGGAGGTGCTGAAGCTGCTGCTGGCGCGCGGGGCTGACGTGCTGTGCAAGGACAGGCGCGGGTACACGCTGCTACACACGGCGGCCGCCAGCGGCCAGATCGAGGTGGTGAGACACCTGCTGAGGCTGGGGGTGGAGGTGAGAGCCGGGACTGCCTGCGGGGGGGGACAGCAGCTGGGGGGTCGGGGACAGCAGCTGGGGGCGTGGGGACAGGGCTGTGGGTGTGCCCGAGCTTTGGGTGGGGACAGAGCTGTGGGTGTGACAGAGCCGTGGGTGTGACAGAGCTGTGGGTGTGACAGGAGCCGTGGGTGTGACAGAGCTGTGGGTGTGACAGAGCCCTGGGTGTGACAGAGCTGTGGGTGTGACAGAGCTTTGGGTGTGACAGAGCCGGGGGTGTGACAGAGCTGTGAGTGTGACAGAGCCGTGGGTGTGACAGAGCTGTGGGTGTGACAGAGCTGTGGGTGTGACAGAGCCCTGGGTGTGACAGAGCTGTGGGTGTGACAGAGCTTTGGGTGGGAACAGAGCTGTGGGTGTGACAGAG